CCAAGCCGAAGCCTTAGACTCTCAGGATATGAGCTTATGGGCACAGGGTTGTTCTATAGTTTGGAACTGAGTTGCTGATGACAAAAGGTTTTTCTGGATTTCATCCATGAAACTATTTGCAGTTCTATTTGGCTAACAAGAAGGTTTTTCAGCATAGTACCTGCAGGCATCCAAGGCTCTCACAGACTCTTACGCTGCAGCTTATAGTCCAAGCACATGATTGCAAAAGAGTTAGCATGGCTTAATGACCTACTGCCTGTCAGCTGCGTCACAGTAACCCTCACAGCCTGCACCAAATGTGAAGTGAAATACTTCAGTGAAATCTACAGCAATTCAGGTGGTCAATGAGTGTGCAGAAGGTCAGCTAGCACAGCTCAGCTGGTGAGAGGTAACCACACTTTTAGAGAATCAGACAGCCTCGGTATGATCTTGGTTTAGAGCACAGGCTAGTCACATGCCACAGCAGGAAAAGGTCTAACGTATATCAATCCAAACACTGCCCCCACACTTCTTAGCTAAATATAAATACATTTGGTACTTCTTTTTCAATAAGAATTTGGAACTGGACTTAAATCTTCCTTTATCCCCGGCAACAGTGCAAGTTTTTTAGAGTGAATGTGATGGAGGAATGCTTATAGGAACCATCCCAAGGCCTTGAACGTACCAGCATTTTTCTCTCAACTTTCCCACATTATTATAAGATCAGAGTCCCAGTTAAGCATGACTGAACGTTGTTAACACTCACACAACGACATTTTAACCACACCATGATCAAACCTACACTAAATACCAATGGATGGCATCAAAGTAGTAGTTGCTGTCTAAGGATGAGGCAATTTCACTGTCTGTTCCAGTCCTTACCTGCTTTTTCCTTAAACACCCAAAAGCCAGTTAAAAGCAATGCCAACGGTGTTGTTCCTCAAATTTGGAATGTACTACTTTTCTTTAAGAAACTTCCTGTCAATAATTCAGACAACTTACTACTACATCATGAGGTACTCACAGGTTGAAGTAAACCCACTGTCACATGGATTTCAACATGGACAAGTCTCAAAAAATGGATTTAGTTATTAATTTCAAATCACAGAACAAAACCGTTAAAAAGTGAGTGAAAACTCCACAGGTTCTAACTTTTAATGCTTTATAGCTTGCAACATTAATAAAAAAGTTGGAAACCTAAAAAAGCCAGTCGCCTAGAAATGATTTCTAGATCCTGCAGACTGGGGCTAAGCTGACTTGAGTTTTCACGGCTCGAAATAGCCTTGATCAAGCACACTCTTCTGCCCCCTCCAACACTCCTACCAAAAGCTCTTACCACAAGGGTTCGCAAGCAGAGGGTCCCTGCTGGAGCACGAGGGTCCAAAGCAGCCACAAGATCCCATACTTTAATTTTCCTAGTAGTGAAAAAATAGACAAACACCATGGCTCTGTTAAAGAGTAAAGAGCAATTGCTCACAGAAAAAAATTAACTGCTAGTACAGCTTAGCTAATACACCAGTTCAAGGAAAATTACAGCAATCCTTCAGCTCTTGAGACCTGGTTCTTGCATTTCCCCTTTGTAAGCCTTATAGAGCTTAATGGGAGAAAAAAAATATGCTGTCAACAAAGCAAAACACATAAAAAGCAGGTGGTAATAACTAACAGAAACATGTGAGAGTGCAGACACCTATTCTATAATGGCAAATGGTCCAGAAGACATAACCACAGATGGGAAAGATTCTTCTTACCAGAGGTTCAGCAAGAAGAGGTTTCAGGTTGAGTCGGTCACATATTCTTACAAGCTAAAGAACTGGACCACACACATCAAATCACACTGACTTATTTCAGAAGAAGAAAAAAAGGTATACTTTATAGCATGGTCCTGATTTACTGGCCATGAAATTGTCTTCTTGGTATGACAGACAAGGAGTCTAGTATTTATAAGGAAGACAGAGCAAAGTGGGATGTGAGACACTGAGACAGACAGGAAGATGCAAGGTATTGACTGCACTGACAGCCTCACCCATCATATGCCCCACTGACTATCCTCTTGTTATCAAAGCGTATGCATCTCACCAACTCTTCATGGCCTTCCAGTACTCGTAAACACGCCCCACACTCGATATCCCACAGCCTGGAAGAGAGTACAAAGAAGCACTAAGAATTTTTGAATATCTGATCACTGCAACAAAACATTTGGTCTTTGCTTGCAGTTAATGGAAATTTGTAAATAAAAGTCGTGATGAAAAAACAAAGAAGAAAAACTACATTCGTCACTCCTTTTCCTGCTGCGAAGCAGATGCATGCTTTTCAACATGACCCTGTTATGTTACAGTATCACATGGGAAATGAGTCAGAGATCCAAAAATTTTAAGGCCAGTTGTGTCTAGTATCTACTGCTCTAATAACACAGGATACCTCCCAGTTATCTTCACAGTGAGCCTCACAAATTTATTTTACTGAAGTTGAGTTTTCATAAAAGAATCCTGCCCTGATTTTAAGATGTTAAGAGAGGGATACTTACCAATCCCTTTGGCAGCTTGTTCCCATCGGTAAGGTCACCTTCACAGGGCATGCGCCCCTTTCTGTACCCCTATATGCCTATCTCTAATTTGGAGACTACCATCAGACAAACTAAGACATCAATACAGTGGTGAAAGGCACAAGAATTAACAAGCCCTTTTTATTTGTCGTTTCTCCCATTGGAGGTATGTTTACTCTGTAATCTAGGCACCTTATGCACAAGCTAAAATGGACACTCTACGTTTATTATTTTGTAATGCATTTTCTTCTTGCTCTCAAATAATTCCTGTGGCTCTCTGCTAACTGTTTTTCATAAATCAATATTTAAAAAAAGCTCTGGCACCAAAAACCAGTTCACCATATCCTAGTAAGAGACCCAGCAATGTGTTATTCTCTCAACTGTAAATAACCTAGAGTTTTGGGCTATGTGAAGAATTTTTAGCATGGAGAATAAATTAAAATATATTAATTTTTACACTACCTTGAAAAATACTTAAGAAATGCTTATGAAGTAAGTCATAACAGTTATGAAGCAAGTCTATTTGCTCTCCATACTTTTGTCAGCTCTTCGACATGACTCCAAATTACCATGGATAAAGAAAGATTATCTGCCTACAAGAACTGAAATTCTTTGACTGTATTGTCTAGAGGTGTTCCACCTCTGGCTGAGGCATGCTCTGCTCGTACAGGAATCTTTTAATAACAGTATCTGCTGCAGCTCCCTGACACATAGCTGAAAGAAAGCAGTCACAAATGTTCTTAAATGCTCATTGAATTTGCCTTCAGACTGACATGCACTTCACAGTAGCGAGAAATACGGGTGGTTCGTGGAATTTCTCTGGGTGACACATCTTGAAGCAGCACAGCTGCTGAGGGGTCAGGTCACTTCTCCCTGAGACACAGACCAAGAGAGAAATAAACGGTCTCCACATATTTTACTCCTGAGGTCCCCCAGGGAATAATCCAGATCCAGTGCATGTGTGCCCAAGGTTGGTGGATAATGACTGCAGCTGTCCTGCCACGACAAGCCGCTCTCACTTTGGACAACAGAGGAATGAACAGAACTCTTTCGTCACTGTAGAACTGGGAAAGGATTTGTCTATGCACAAACAAAACGTGTTTGAGGCCAACAAGAAGCACAAGGTGATTCTTCAATCCATGAAGTTGATCTTTCAGGAATCTGTAAAGATCCCAACAGTCTTCACATGAGTACCAGCATACCAGTCAAGGTCAGAGCAAGCAACTCCATGGCAAAGGTCAGCCAAAGGCACTCTGGCTGGTCAGAGAGCATTAAGTCTCTCAAGGACTGTAAACAGGATGGACAATGCCAGAAATGAACTGGTGCAGAAAGGTCTGAAGAGCAATCTAGTGCCAGGAACTTTGATGCCATGTGTTTCCATTCCTTGCCATCAATCCTGAGATTGCCAGCAGCTCTGGGAGGCTGCACCACACTAATTCAGGCCTATATTTTCAGGTCCCAATTTGAGGTTTTACCTGAATCTGAATGGGATTAGAAGAGAGAATCATGTCCATAGCCATGTGGGGAATGGGTCTTCATGTACAAAAAGGATAACTGTTACGTAAGAGCAGAATCTCCTAGCAGAATTGGTGCCAAGAGCACCTCCCAGATTTGATAACCTTCTAAAATTTCTACTTCTTTGAATAGTCGAAGTACCAAATAGTAAGAGAACTATTCTTAAGGCTTAAGAACTAACTAAAAAAAATTCACTACAAAGTGTACACAGTCAAAACCACTACCACTTTTCCCTCCTATAGCTTTGGGAAAACTTCTGGAAGTAGAGGTCTGCAATCATCTCAGCTTTTAATTCACTTGAAGTCCTGGCAGAGCTGGAAGATGTACAGAAGGCAGGGGAGCCTGAATCCCCATCTCCTAGAGAGAATGCTGTTGTCTACACAGTCCAGTATCAGATCCCCATGTGTGCACACACTGGAGGCCGAATACACACATGCAAACCAACCACTCATTTAAACATTAACCCAAGATGATACAGTCTGATGCTGTTTTCCTGCTTTAAATTTTTTCCCCCCCCCCCCCCCCCCTTTTTTTTCCTACACCATGCTTGTCTGTAGCAATTAAGAACTGTAGCCCTAGAGGCTAAGATACTGAAAGGACTGGATTAAACTTGATGAACCACACTCTACCAGATAAAAATTGGCACAACAGCAGCAATGTCTATGTAGCCGTGTCCTCTTACACTGGTGAAATTTCCGGCCTAAACCAAAACCTAAATGATTTTTATACATTGAGTCTACCTACAGAAGACAGATATTGATTTCTCAGCTACTTCACATGTCCTTACGTTTGCAGTTGCAAACTAGAAATCACGGAGTCTTCTTTCAGAAAAAAAGCTTTTCTGCAACGCACAACATCTGGCATTTTACAGTGGATTAAAATCAAATGTAAAAGCACCAAGCCACTCACAAAAATGACTTAGCGACCAGCCCTTTCTTAAATCACCCTTCCACTGACTTGTGCCCTCTGCTAATGGCTGGGAGAAAACGATGTGACCAGGTAGGTCTTGTGCCTTGCCCACAGAGCTGCCAAACTTGGCTTCCATTAAGATTCACTGCCAACATTCTTGAAATTCTAGCACAATTTATCTGTCAACTAGGGATTTTGTCCAAAGTAAGCACAAAAGTAACTGTATTCCTCTTTAGCGTTATCACTATCTTGACATTTATGTTTATTAGCATTGCAAGTCACATTTTAGATCCTTCCCTAACTGCTGTAATATTTAACTATTTCTTACTCTGAGACCAAGTTTCATAATACTATTGCAGAGAGTTATTTTCTTCTATTTGAAGTGCAGGAGCTCTCACCACGTGTAAGTGGTGCTACTCTTATACAATGCCTGTAATACTTTTTCACCTGATTAAGAGACAGAATTTCCAGCTCTCTTGGTCATGCTCTCAGGCAGCCCTATACTAAAATCTGGCACAATGACCTGGTGATGTCAACCAAAGGACCACCATATCCATACAGAATGCAAAGCAGGGAGAGGCAGTGTGTTGCAGGCAAAGTCCACAGGCAAACAGTAGCATCAATCATTCTCACTGAGTAGAAATTAGTACTGACATACAAAGCGAAGGGTTTCTGCTTACACTGTCCAGCTTTCAAGTTTTATCAGAAGGCAGACAATCATTTAAAGCAATGACAAAGACAAAAGGGAGGTTGCTCTTCCTCCTGTTTGCAGGACAGAGCCGTTTCCCTACGTTACGTACACTACCACTCAAGCTTGCTCCGTACACCCCGAGATTAGAGGGACATTCCTCTGCCAGCAGCCGCAGGATGTAGGGAGAAATCCTGGCTCATGATACCAGAAGGAGTTAAATCTCAGATTGCAACCAGGGCAGCTGGAGAAGGGCAAAAGGCAGCAAACTGAACTTCATGCTCTAAACCAGCTGTTCCAAACTTAACCAGGTGCCAAGTACTACAAGAAGAGTTTGGCAAGAGCCCAGGAGGATTTCTGCAGAGGATTAAATGCCTCTTACTGCAAATCTGACCCCTTTAACTAGACACATAGCCCAATTAAAATATCACAAGAGGACATCACAGAAAGTGGTACTTGCCAGCTCTTTCATACACCAGAATTGTCAGAGCAATGCAACTTGTTGATTAGTATGGGACTCTTGAGATATAGAGGATGAAAGACAACACAGTAAAACAGGCTTCTAATATCTCTTTCCAGTAGTTCCCAATGTTCTACACCAAAGAAAGCATATTTCAACGACGACAAGGGTACGGAGCACTTCAGTTACCTAACCTCTGCACATCCCAGGGAATCAGAGACAATGCACTTGCACAAGAACTCTGCAACGGGGAGTGAGTCTCTCACCTGATAGTATTATCTGAAGAGCCGCTCACTACTAGCCTGTCTCTGTACTGCAGACATGCAATGCCTCGTTTGTGGCCATTTAAGGTGCGCACAAATTCGCAGGTACTAGTGTTCCATACCTGTGACAGGAAGCGGGGAGGGAACCACACAGAGACAAAATTATTAAGAGGAGACTAACAAAAGCTGGTATCTGTATGATATATAGGTGCATCCAGAATGCTCTTAATTGAAGATGCTATCATTAAGACTGGAAAAATTAACCCTCTGATGACTTGTGACTATAGTCTGTAACTGTTACCAGCTTGGGTCACTGTATACAGAAGATTTTTGCCACACCGAATGAGAATTAGCTTCCAAAATCAGGCTTCAGCACTCTTGGGCTACGGTTTAGTCTACACAGGATCTTGGTTTTCCTTAGTTTTTATGCTGCAGATTGGGATCAGAGCAGTAACACTTAAGTGACTCCTACCCACTCACCTTCACTCCTGCTCCCGTGCTGTCCTCTGACAACTGTTTTGAATGAGTAAAACAGATTATGGAAGCAGTCAAGTCGAAAAAGAACACAGGAAAAAACCCCTCCTTTTTTCAACTGCATCTGTACCTGCAACTGATTTGTCATACAGCTCTGTAAACAAGTTGTGCAAGCTCAACAGAGGAGGGACGAGTGGAAACAAGCAGCAGGAAGAAAACTGCTTCTAAAGGAAGGTCTGTGTAATAACTGCCCAGGATCATCTTCGCTGTCTGGTCACTGTTCTTGGTTATTAAATACCCAGTGTTGCAAATAAAAAGCCTCTGGAACACCTCACCTTTATAGTTCTGTCACCTGATGCTGATACAATGTACTTGTCATCAAAGTCCACTACATTGACGGCAGCTCGGTGCCCGACTAGAACCCTCCTGAGGGTGATGTCTGTTGGTGAAGCCATGTCCCACACAGCAATGGAACGGTCTTTGGAACATGTCACCATCATGCCGTTATTGAAGCGGAGGTGCAGCACTGCTTCGCAGTGGTGAATCAGTGTATTCAGCATCTCGCCTGCATTCACGTCCCAGACCCTGCAGTTTCAAATTTCAAACCAGAGAGAAGAGAGTCAAAAACCCGATCAGTGGATTTTCTGCAGAGCGAGAGAGGGACGGGGAGACGTAATTGACTCTCTAGCAATATTAGAGAAGCAAACACCATAAGTTATATCTACATCTATTAAACAGTTCACTAAAAGATATATTATATAAACCTGTTGATTATGCATACATTGAGACAGTCCAGCAGCCAAAAACCCTGCAATGCAGTTAACACCACAAAAATAACCCAGCCAGGAAAAAAGCGTTCTTTAATTAAGGGAATTGAGTACTGAGGAAAGGTATGAGATTGATGGCCTTAAAGACTGATGTTTCCTGGTTGTCTCAGCCTACAACACACTCCATTTCCAGACAGAGTGTGACCTGTGGAGAAGCAAGTTCAGTGACAGGTTTAATTTTTGACCTCTCTCACAGGACTATCAACTCAAAGGATAATTTATACAGAAGCAGAAGACAAGATAATGCTTTTCAAACAAATATAAGTAATTGCCACAAGTTGCACCACGAATTGCATTTACCCTGCAGTGTATCTGGTAAACAGCTACATTCCAGGGATGTGCTGAACACACAAATTAAGACAGACCATTTATGTCAATTTAATGTTATTGGAACCAACTGTTTCAGCTGAAATATAAGATGAAAGTCAAACAAAGGCTTCATACAGAACTCTAGGACTTGAAATTAAGATTTTAAGCCTTAAAAATGTTTCTTTTGGGGTATTCTGTTGACAAACTTCTTTTACCTTCCAGATTTCTTGGCGCTATCACACCTGTATCCCAGATATACTACGTAAGAGCAGAAAATGGCTGTATCACCAGGCATATCAAACACTGCACAAGTAAAACTTTGCCAACAATGCGATAAGTAAGAAAAGGCAAGATGTGAGAAAAGACTTCTAATGTCTTATTTTCTAAGTAACAGAGGCTGAAGTGCATCAACTTATGGACTATAAATGAGAAAGAAAACTACATTCCAACTACAAAATGCAAAGGAGAAAAACCCACAGACTAAAGAGCTGAGCCATTAACAGACGAGCAGTTTGCAGACAGGGTTGCCAAACTGAACAGGAGCTGGAGACCTACTGACTTCTTTGGACAAGTGCATCCCTGAGATCTCAGAAGCATTAAGAGCCCATCTGTACTGTCTATTGGATGAAGCCTCTCTTCCTGAGGAGACCCAAGGATAAAAGTGATGCATCCTATGTGCCTCTGGGGTCTGCAGAAACATTTATAGATACAGTGGGAAACAAAGTACTTCTGGGCAAGCAGCCAGTCTGCAATTTGGCCTGCCTGGCCTGATACGGAAGATGATAGTGCTTGTTACAGAAATCAGCCTTTCCTATTGCGATCTGTTTAGCACACTGCAGTT